TGCAGGCCCTGGATGATCAGGATACTGGCACTCGCCGGAGGCTGCTGCTACTACTGTGTGGTGTGTGCCGTGGCCATCCAGCCCTGGGGCAACTGGGCCGGAGCCACCTGACCCAGGTGGTTCTTCGTCTGGGGGAAGAGGAAGTGGACTGGGCCGAGGAGGCCCTGGGGGAGCGCTTTCTGCAGGCCCTGGAGTTGCTCATCAGCAGCCTGGAGCAGGCCAGCCTGCCCTGCCACTTCAACCCCAGCGTGAACCTCTTAGGTAGTTTGCGGGAGGAGGAGATTGATAGCATTGGTTATGCACTCTACAGTGGTCTACAGGTACCTGAGGGGCTGCTTTAGATGGGTGGGGACCGGGCAGCCAGAATGTTTTCTGATATTGGTGATCTGTACCCATCTCACTCCCAGGAAATTGCAGTGTTTTTTTTTTGTTTGTTTGTTTGCTTTTAGCCAGAACACAGGAGAGTACACTACCTAGGCCCACAGGATGGGCATATGCCTGGGCTATGGTCCCTGGGATCACTGAGCCCAGAGAGCTTAGGTAACTGTCACCTGAGTGTGACTGGGCTGCAACCACTCACTTAGGTGTCCCTCAGACCTTTGGGGTGACCTAGGACCTTGGGGTCAGACCATATCACCAGCAGCAAATCCACTGAGAATGTGTCTTCTCCATCCCAACCAGTTCCATTTTTCTGCCAAGACAGAAATTTAGTACTTTTTTCAGGCGCCCGTGCCAGGCATCCTGGAGGCATCTAAGTATCATGTGTTTGTTTCCTCCCTGGGTGCTGGAGTACCTGGTATCCCAGAGGCCAGCGTTTTGTTTTTATTTTTTGGTACCAGGAATTGAATCCAGAGGCGCTTAACCACTGAGCCACATCCCCAGCCCTTTTTATTTTTTGACACAGGGTCTTGCTAAGTTGCTTAAGGCCCTGATAAGTTACTGAGGCTGGCTTTGAACTTGGGGTTCTCCTGCCTCAGCCTTCCCAGCTGTGGGATGACAGGCATGCACTACTGAACCTGGGTAGAGGCCAGCCTTTGGCTCTTGAAGGTTGGTGTTTTCCTGCTGTCTTCTGTTTTTTTTTGTTGTTGTTGTTGTTGAATTCTCCAGCTCTAGAGTGAGATGCTGCCCATTTGATACCCTCCAGCTAGGTGAGTTTTCTCCTAAGGCAGTAGAGGCCCAAGGCCAAGGCTGTGCCTCAATAGCTGCTCCTGGGCGCCACTGGAAAGCAGAGGACACGCCCTTCCCAGAGGCCCATGTGCTGACTTGGCCTCTTCAGTGTGCCAAAATGAACTCTCAGTGGATTCTGACCTTGTAGCCTGGCCAAGGTAGTAGGGGCTGGAAGAGGGAAACTGCCTCCCCTCCCAGGCGCCCCTCCTGTCTTTGGTATCCTTTGGGCTGAAGCAAACCTCTGCCTTGAAGAAAGTGAGCAAGAATAAAAGGAAAAAATTCTCATATGTGTGCGATCCTTGCTGGGAAAGGGGTCTAGCACTTTCATGGGTGGCTATTCAGATCTCTTAAGTCTGGTGGCTTATCCTGGCAGCTTGGCAAGAGGACTTGAAATCAACTTGGAGGTGAAAGAATTTGTTTTCAAAAGTAGTGTCTTGCTGGGCATGGCGGTGTACACCTTACTGTAGGATTACTGGGTAGTGATTGGGAGGCTAAGGCAGGAGGATCACAAGTTCAAGGCCAACCTCAGAACCCAGTGATACCCTATCTCATCAAAAATAAAAAAGGGCTGATGATGTGGCTCAGTGGTTAAGCACCCCTGGGTTAAATCCCCAGTACCAAAAAAAAAAAAAAGTGTTTTAGTCCTTTTTGGTTGCAATAACAAACTATCGTAGACTGTATAGATGGTTTATGAATAACAGAAATCTATTTCTCATTTTGGAGGCTGGAAAACCTGAGATCAGAACACCAACAGATTTTGTGTGTAGTGAGGGCCCATATCCTGGTTCACAGATATCACCTTCTAGATGTGTCTTCACATGGCAGAAAGATGAGATAGCTTTAAGGTCTCTATAAGGACATTAAGTCCAATCACATGGCTGTTCCCTCATGACCTAGTCACCTCCCAAAGGCCCCACTAATGCCATCACATTCCAGGGAGGATTTCAGGATACAAGTTGCCACCACATATTCAGCCCATATGGGTCCTGTGGAGGGAGAATACTCAGTGTGCCTTGGTGCTCAGTCTTGCTTTTTAATAGGAACCAACTAGTCAGGGCTCATTTCTTCCCCTAAGGCTGAGCTGCTGAGCCCTCTGGTGTTCCTCTACTTTCCTGGATCAGTGGGGCTGCTGCATGCCCATCAGTCTTGAGAGAACTGTTTGCTCCACCTCCCTTGCCTTTCCTGAAGTCCCCAAAATGTGGGGTCAAGCAGCTGTCAAGCCAGGCATCTCAGTGTCCCTCAGGAGCTAACGTGAGGCTTGGTTCCTCTGTTACCAGATGACAAATGAGGCCTGGACACTTTCCTTCAGATGCCAGTCACATCCTGATGTCCTTCCTGTGAAGTTCTATTTCCTGTGGAGAGCCTCCCCTTCCAGCTGTGACATGGGATGGTGTAGGACATAGGATGGTAGTGTCTGCCTCTGGGTGGTGGGAGACTGCCTCAGCCGAGGTTTATTCAAGTTGCTTGGTTTGGGAGCTGCACTCTAGTCTTGAGCAGTTTCACTGGTGGTGGAGGGTTAGCAAGGAAGCAGCTTGAGGGCAGAGCCTATGCCCCCATCCTCTCCTCTATGATCTACTTCCTGGGCAGCTGTGAGGACTAGCTGAGATGGGCAGTGCTCATCTTCTACCTGACACAAGGTAAACTGCCCCAGCAGGGGAGCTTGTTGGGCCTTGCGGGGTTTCCTTCTTTCCACTAATGTCACTAAACTGAAGCAGAGAGCCTTCCCAGCTGCCTGGTGAGTTCACTGGGTCATAAGATCACCCTGGGCTCTGGAGAAGGCTAGAGGGAGCTGTCTGTGAAGTGAGCTCAGTTAATTTGTTTACTTGGTTCATTTATTTATAAATAATGGGGATTGAACCCAGGTGCTCTACCACTGAGCTATACTTCAGCCCTTTTCATTTTCAGAGGGATCTCACTAAGCCGCCCAGGCTGACCTCAAACTCGTGATCCTCCTGCCTCAATCCCACAAGGACAGAGCCCTCATGATCCCATCACTTCCCAAATGCCCCATGTCTCAACATCACTGCATTGGGGGCCAGGCCTTCAACACGTGAACCTTTGGGGAACATACCAAAGGCTAAACCAGGGATTTGATAGAACCCAAAGTCTTGTGCATGCCACCTAAGCACTTTACCACTGAATTACACCCCAGTCTTTTAAAATTTTTGAGCTGTGTCCATTTTCCTCTCCTTGATCTTTGTTATATAAAATGCCTACCTGTAATCCCAACTACCCAGAAGGCTAAGGCAGAAGGATTGCAAGTTCAAGGCCAACGTCGGCAATTTAGCAAGACCCTGTCTTAAAATAAAAAAGGCTGGCTGGGGTCGGGGTATGGGGTGAGAAGGGGGTGATTTAGAGGTGTCCAAACAGGCCTTGCTTCAACCCAGCTTTCACCTGGAGATTTAGCTGGCCTTGAGCTTGTCTCTGAGATTTGTTGCCCCCAAGCCTGAAGGAGCTCCAGGGCAGATGTGCATCTTCTCCAGGAAGGGGTGCCAGCCTGGGAGTCAAGAGGGAGCTGCACCACACTTTTTACCTGTTTATTTGTAAAACAAGACCTTCAGGGTGGGGATACAGCTCAGTTGTAGAGCGCTTTCCTAGTGTGCATGAATGTACCCACTCTGCCAAATAACAAACAACAAAAAACAACCACAGGAGCCTTCAGACTGGTACATGTTTGTACCATTTCCATTTTTTTGACTATACTTTTCCTTTGTAATCTGAAAAATGCAGACAAAAAAATTAATTTGTTGAGGAAGCTAAGGCCCAGCATGTACTGAATGGCAACACTCAGGACTCTGGTGACCTACTGTAGATCCTCTCTGCACTGCTCATCTGGAGAGAACAAGAGCCCAGTTAGCAGGAAGGCCAGAAACACAGACTCCCTGGCTTGCACGGATTTTGGAAGGCACTTTTCAGGTCTAGTGCGCGCGAGATGGAACACCACCTCCTAGCATAGACACTGGCGTCTGAGGTAAGGGTGGGTGCAGTCTGCCCCTGATATGAATGGCTAACAGGAAGTGGTGAGCAAGATTCTAGTCCAGAAAACCTGGCTGCTAAACAGTACAGTACAGTAGAACCTGAGCATTTGAATTTGGCTACAACAGACATGAGAGGAATGGCAGGTGAATTTACTGCAGAGGACAGTATGGTCTTTACCTGGCAAAGTTACAGGCCCCAGTCCTGCTGGGCACCACTTATTTTTAATTCCAGCTGCTCCAAGATCAGTGCATACCAGGGATAGGTAATTGCTTTGATCACTACACTTGTGGGGTTTGTTTGCCCTTATTTTCTCAGCTGTCTGTGGGGTGGGTCACCAAAGGCTGTGTATAGAGTCAGGCTTCCTCTTCTCCAGGAGATGGCAGGGAACCAATCATGTAAGCTGTTGGAGCTCTGAGATGGAGACATGAGGTCAGAGACTAAGTTTCAAGGCAATATCAGCTGCTTGGCAGGGGGAAGGGACTTAACCTGTGGGAGCCAAGATTTCCCTCCATAAAGGGACAGAAGAAGCTGCCCAGTAGAAAAATGGGAGGTTGAAACCACTGTGTGTGAAACCCTTCCTGGCTATTGCCATCAGGGAGGGTTTCACACACAGTGATTTCAACCTCCCACATTTCTGCTGCCTCACTTTTCTTGGTGGGGCCCAGTGAGGAGGTCATTTTCTTCTCCTTGATCTTTGTTATATAAAATGCAAATAGGAAATAATGTTCAGTACAAGTATAAGAATATTTCAAACAGAAAAAAGAATCTTTCAATCCTCCTGGAGGGGAAGGCGACAGGACAAGTTTCTGGTTGCACTGAAGACTGCTACTCTGAGCGTGCCACTGAGACATGGAAACTCCTTAACAGGATTTATTGTTAAGTTTTCACTGTGATTGGGCCCAACTGTAATACTCCACCAAAGAACCTCATGTTGAACAAGAACACCCCATCACAGATGAGAGGAGCCAGGATCTGAGTAGACAAATAGGGCATAGCTCAGCAGAACATTTTTTGCCCGGCATGTGAAAGGCCCCAGCCACCCAATGTGGTAAAGGACTTATGAGGAATTATCTTGACAAGATTACACGGTTATGATCTTGGTCATAACCATCATTTTGCGTACCAAATGACCTTGGCATTCCTCTCAAACCCTATGGGACACAGTTACTGAGTGTGGCATACTGGCCACTGATACTGGGATTGTTTCTTAATTGATGGTGGATATGTTGTTTTTGAAAAACCCAGGTATATAATGTCCCCTGCTTCTTTCTGCTTTGGGGTTTTGCTGCTGCCATATATCCTGTTTTTTTCCTAAGTTCCTAATAAATTATACTTTGTGCAAGCCTGGATTTGTCAGCCTTTGTCTGTGGTCTTTCAGCACCTTCTGCTTTTGGTGGCTGGTTCTCATACACTGGGTTTTTCCAAAACAGGACCTTCTAGTATTTCTCCAAAGGGGAAAAATGGGGATGTAGCTTGGTGGTAGAATGCTTGCCTAGCATGTATAAAATTCTGGGTTCTACTTCCAGTACTATACAAAAACAAAAATTCTCCAAAGAATATATACAATGGCCAGTAAACACATGGAAGGATGGTCAATTCCACTGGCGAAATGCAAATTGTAAGTGCAATGAGATGCCACTTCATACCCCCATCTCAATGTTGTTATTATTTTTTGTTCCAGGGATTGAACTCAGAGGTGCTTAACTACTGAGCCACATCCCCAGCTTATTATTTATTTTGAGACAGGGTCTCACTAAGTTGCTGAGGGTGGCTTTGAACTTGTGATCTTCCTGCCTCAACCTCCAGAGCCACTGGGATTAGAGGTATGTGCCACTGTGCCCAGCTCAATAAATTTTTTTGAATATTACTGTGTCTAACTTACAAACTTTATTGTAGCTATGTATTCATATGAAAAAATAAAGTATAGGGCTGGGTTTGTAACTCAGAGGTATAGCACCTGCCTAACATGTACAAGACCATGGGTTCCATCCCCAATACCACAAAGTAAAACCCAAATAGTTGGGCTGGGGCTATAGCTCAGTTGGTAGAGTGCGTGTCTCACATGCACAAGGCCCTGGGTTTAATCCGCAGCACCACAAAAAACAACAACAAAAAATTCCACATAGTATATGTATATAAGATTTGGTACTACTCAAACTTTCAGTCCCCTTATCCATGAGGACTAATATAGTCAACCATAAAAAAAAAGGTACTGATCCATGTTACAATATGGATAAACCACAAAACATTATGCCAAGTGAAATAAGTCAGATGCAGGTCATACTTATTACTCTATTTATATGGAACATTAGAATTGGTAAACCCACAGAGATAATCAGTAAGGTGGGTGGTTGCCAGAGTCTGGGGTAGAAAAATAACCACAAACACAGGCCACAACCCATACCTGCAGGCTGAGATGCTCTAGAAAACAAGGTCAGAAACCTGCATTTGTAGAAACCCTTGACCCTAATGCCCAGCCAGGGTGCAAAGCCAAAAGTCCCAAGTCCTGAGAAGAATATCAGTTTCTTCACTGACTGGGTAACTCACACCCCATTTCTGCTTCTCTTCTAAACTATACCCAGAGCCAAGCCAGGCATGGTGGCACACACCTGTAATCCCAGTGGCTTGGGAGGCTGAGGCCTTAAGCAACTGAGACCCTGTCTCTAAATAAAATACAAAAAGGGCTGGAGATGTGGCTCAGTGGTTAAGCAACCCTGGGTTCAATCCCTGGTACAAAAAGACAAAGTCAGAGCCAATTTGGCTATGTATCATTCATGAGTGTTTGTGGTGGCCAACAAGGAATAAGGCCATTCTTGGCAAGTGTGGAAAATGGAAAATTAGTGCTCTGAATCTTGGGTTGGTACCTCTGCTCCAAGGGACAAAGTTCGGGGGCGGGGGGGCAGAAGTTAGGGTCAGTTCTTACCACATAGTGGTAGGGAGGAAAGGCTGGGCTGGTTGATGGCCACCAGGAGCAGTGGCAGGTGGAGAGCTGTTTCTGGCACTGGATGGTGCTTGTGCTGTCACTCTTAGGACTGTTACCAGATACTCTGCTGTACTGTCAGCAGTCAGAGTAAGTGGGGTTGAATTCTTTATTAAGGCACATGAGCCATGGTATCCTGAATTCTAGGTGAAGCAGAAATGAAGCTTCTGGAGAAATAATGGTAGTAGGAGGGCCACTTCCTGGCATTACAACCTCCTTTCTGGAATGGCTGCAGACAGAAGCCCTGTCCAATTGGCCAGGGCTTGAGTCAGGAGTGCAGCTCCTCACTCAGGCAAAGGCAGCTCTGCAGCACAGTAAGCCATAGTGGGGAACACACAGATGTCATCGGTTATGTCCTCTGCTGCCAGCTTCGCCACCCTTTGCTAGCAGTGACAGTTCTTGGGGGTCCTGGGACAGCTGCCTGACTTCTTCACAATGGCTGTGTGCATTCCTGAGTTCTGGGTAGAGGCCTATGGTCTAGCAGAGCCAGTTGAGTGGTCTGACCTTTTGCTTCTTCACATAAAACCCAATTCTAAAACCCATCACTCCTGTTTCAAGGACTGTGAACAGTTAACTATTCTAGTTAACCTGGTCCCTGGTCTGAGAAAGTTGCTCTCTTACCCTGCCATGCCCTCATCTGTTCTGAGGACAGAAAGGCCGGGTGTGTCCTGGCTGATGGCAAAGACTGCATTTCCGGGGTCTCTTTGCCGTGGACCCTGTGTCTGAGGAGCCAGCTCGGGGTCTTCTGCTCCTAGCTTCTGATCCCTGCGTTCTTCCTCTGCCTCTTGGCCAGGGTAGTGCTGCAAAAGTCCCTGTGGGAAGAGTTAATGGAAGGCTGTATTTAGAACAGACACTCTGAAGTGGCAAGAAATAGAGAGCAAGCATTGGGTTGGGGTTATCCCAACTTTTACATAGGTACACTCCATGGGTCAGACTCCCCATGCTCTATGAAGAACAGCTCCATAATGTTAAGATATGACATTATCGGGCTGGGGCTGTAGCTCAGTAGTAGAGCGTTTGCCTAGCATGTGTGAGCCCCTGGGTTCGATCCTCAGCACCACATAAAGATAGATACATAAAGGTACTGTGTCCATCTACAACTGAAAAATATTAAGAAAAAAAAAAAAAGATATGATGTTGCTTTATATTTCCTGATACCTCTCTCTAGAACCCTAAATTCAGAAGCTGGGGTATAGCTCCCTGGTAAAACACTTGCCTTGCCTATCTAAAGCCCTGGGTTCCAACCTAGCACTGTGGTGGAGTGGGGGGAGTGCTCACTGTTCTAATAAGAGGGCACGAGTGTCACTTTCGTTAGGCCCTTTTTACAGAGACAGAAACCCAGGCAAACAATGGGAAAGGAGCCTATGACCAGCAGCCTACTCCCTACCTTACCTGCAGGTCAGATGTCACTTTCTGTGGCCCTGCCCAAGTCTGAAATGTGTGCAAGGCCATCTCTTCGTAGTTACTTCAATATGAGTTTGGAAATAGGATGGCTGTCTCCAAGCCCCTCAAACGCCAGTTGTGAGTGACTCCAAGTCCTCTGCTTTTTACCCTGCCTCCTGGATTCTTCCTGATATGGTGACATGATAGTCTGAATTCAATTCCACTCCTTTATCAACCAGGAACTCTATGAAAGTAGACCTGGGCCATCTTATAAAGGAACCTGTGGTGGAGTGGCTTAGTCATTGTGGATTTGGAAACCAGATCTGTACAACTCCAAAGCTCCCATTTGGCCTTTGGGTCATTCTCAGATAGATAATTAAGAGTGGCAGTTACTATTCGAAATGCCCTCACATACACCATCCACTATGATCCAATACCTGGGCGTCAGATCTCATGATACCCATTTTCTGGGATGCTGGTATAAGCTGCATGATCCTGGGTAGGTTCCCAGACATCACCAGGGTTAATATGCTCATCTGAAGAAATGAGGCTGATGCTAATGATCTTGCTATAAGAAGAATGGGCTTACATTCCTATCTTGGGCTGTTACAGTGTGAAGTGAAAAAAACTACTTTATTGGTCTGGGCCTCACTTTCCTCATTGGTCAAACTGACATCATAATGTTTGCTGCTGAAACTGAAAGAGGCCTCCTGCAGAAAGTATATTCACCACAGTGCCGGGCACAGTGAGCTATCCAATTTGAGCTACCTTTAATTTGGAATGCAGACTGTGGTTCATCACCTTGCTGCAAGTGATGGGGCAAAGTAGCTGGGCACCCCCTATGGATCCCGCCACTACAATGCCCTGATTCTTCTGTCTCTGAAGTGGAGACCACTGTGGAAACCCAAGCAGAAACCTGCATGCCTTACCTGCCTCCCCTGGGGCCACATTCTCATCAGTCCACTGAAAGAAGCCACATTGCTGTTCTCTTGGCTTGGCACATGTATGGAACTGGCGTCCTTTGTTGGGTCCATCCTTTTGCACAGTCCGTGTGACAGCAGGCTGGTTGCATAGGCAGGATGTGTTGCCATTGCCGCCACTGCCACTGCCACTGCCACTGCCGGGTCTGCTGAACCCACCCAGTGAGCCTGGTGGGCGTCCCAGTGAGCTGCCTGGGGGCCTTGAACTAGAGGTAGGAGCCTCTCCTTCTCCAACATGGCTGCTGTCAGCCCACAGGAAGAAGTTGCAGCTGTTGCTGCTGCATTTATAGAATTGCCGGCCTCGATTGGGGCCCTCCTTTCGGACAGTGAGCAGCACAGCTTCTTGGCCGCAGTTGCAGGTAATGGAGTTGTTTTCACCTGTTGCTGCAGGTGGTGGGAGAGTCTGGATTAGAGCCTTTGAGGTTATAGTCTGTCTGCTGGCAGGAGGCTGCGGCTGGCTGTGCTGGCTGGCGTCCATCCTGTTCAGGGACTGGCTTGCCTGCAGGTAGCCAGAGGGCTGGCTGGCAGGCTGGCTAGCTCTGGGGGGCCCCCGTGAAAATCTCAGGCCCATGATCTCCTTTAGGGTTTCATCACATCCACCAATACAGCCAACAAACTCAAGGGGCATGGTTGGGGGAAGACTGCCACGCTTGAACTTTAACTTCAACCTATTGATGCCAGAGATGAGAAAAAAACATTGATACCCAGGTGCCAGCATCTTCCCCTTGATCCACAGAGGGTACTCTGGCCACAGGCCTTCTATCACCACCTCTCATGCCCCCAGAAGCCCATGGAAGGCACAAGTCACCTTCAGTCTTCACAGGAGTGCAGAGTGGGAAATAGTGCAGATGAAACCAAAGACCCTCAGTTAATCATCAAGTGTAAAGACACCTCTGAAAGGTTCCATTTCTCTACACCAGTGGTTCTCAAAGTATGGTTCCAGGGCCCCTAAGGGTTTACCATTTCAAGGTGAGGTGAAACAATAATAATGCTAAGAAGTTGTGTATAATTTGCTCCCATTCTTCCATGTGTGCCCACTAAGGTTTTTCAGATGTGACAACACATGCAATAATTTAACTGTGGCTGTTGTGGCAGAGATGGGAATCTAGTCTTGCAAAAATGCAAAGAATTCTCTCCATTAGTATTATTATTCCATTTCTGCTTTGGAAAGGAGGTATTTTATCCTAAAATCACTTTTATTTTTTTTTTTTATTTTTATTTTTTTTTAATATTTATTTTTTAGTTCTCGGCGGACACAACATCTTTGTTTGTATGTGGTGCTGAGGATCGAACCCGGGCCGCACGCATGCCAGGCGAGCGCGCTACCGCTTGAGCCACATCCCCAGCCCCCTAAAATCACTTTTAATATTTATGTTAGTAAGAAATGCATTTGCTGTATTTCAAAAGATTTTTCCATTTTAATTTCAAATATGGTATATGTTGAAAACATTACCCACAACAAAAGCTTTCTGGGCTCCTTAATGAGCTCCTAGAGTGTGAGGGGTCCACTGGCCAACAGGTTTGATAAACACTGTCTGCACTAGGGCTCTGGGCTTTGTGAAGGAGCCTAGATACCTCATTTAACATGTGAATAATTTCCTGGACCCAATGCCACAGTGATGTCTGGAAAGGTGCCTCTGTGGTTGCTGAAGGATAAGGGAAAGGCTTGTCCATAGACCAGGCTTCCATCAAACCCAGCAGACCTAGGGTTTTATCACATCCATAGTCTGACTGCCTGGGCTGCTGCTGAGCACAGCTGAAGCACAGCAATGCCTGGGCAAGCATTCCCTGGATGCTTCCATTTGGGTTCCCACAGGAGGAAGGGAAAGGTAGTCCTATGCACACTCCTTGAGAGGCATCTGACTTACCTGTACACAGGGGGTGGCTGACAAACTGAACATACACTCCCGTCTCTGCTAGCCTCTAGCACAGAGTCAGGAAACCATATAGCCGATCGACACTCTGGGAAACCCGTGCAGCTGAGGTAGAACCTGTGGAGAAATGATGGCTAGGGTCAAACCACAGGAATACAGAAGGTGTATGTGAGCTGTCACCATCTACAAGGAAACTCTTCTTCAGTTGATTTAAGAGGACCTTCACTGCCACAACACAATTAAATCAGTCAGGGTCACTCCAGGTGAATCGGGCTGGCACTAAATAATCACACCGACACTGAAAGTACCTTTTTCTTATGGTTCAGTGACGTCTCTTCTGCCCCAGCTCCCACAAGGGAGGCAAAAGAGGCAGGCAAGAGAGAGAGAGAGCACACTTCAAACCATCTCATTTATTGGGGGGAAAGACATTTGAGAAGATTCAACCCAAATAAGGCAAGGGATTGGGTTTCAGGGGGTTGCTTGGTAATGTCTTGCAGTCAGCAGATTTGACTGACATCTTGGAAAGCCACACCCATCTCAGGTGCTGTGTGGGATCAAAGGCAGAGTGAGCAAAAAGGACACATATATCGCACAGCCCAGTCAGAGTAGCAATGTCAGTCCAGTCCCCTCATGTGCTCAAATGCTCACAGCTCACATACACAGACCACGGCTGGCTCGCAACACTTCATTTTTCTGAAGGACATTTAAGTGAATGCAGAGTCACTGACATGAAATGGTTTAGAAAATCAAGCCTGCCTTTGTCCCTAAAACATGAAGCAGCTATTATTGACTCTGCTTTCTATTTAAAAATCTACCACTAACCAAGGTCACACTGTATACCAAATGCCCTGTGCTGGGCAGTCCCACATTCTTGTTTCTTCCTCATGACAACCCAAAATGGTGTTCTGAGCACCTCAGTTTGCCTGTGAGTAAATGGAGACTCGGGATGATCTGGAAACCTGACCAGGGACACACATGGAGTGAGTGGGAGCTAGGCCTGGTAACCCACCTGTCTCAGGAAAGAGCCTTTTCTCTCCAAAACTATACAGCTTATTTTTCCTGGACATTTCTTGATACCTTCTAGTCATGAAATTGAGGGTCTGACTCAGCACCATGCATGTGATTTACTCAATTCCTTAGAGTGTGTCTGGATGTGACCAGCAAAAAACCAGTTATTTAAATGAAAAATTCACAAACTCAGAAATGGGAATTATAGGATAAAATGTTGAGATAATCTCCAGACTTCCCTGGTGATTCTGACAAGCATTCCACCAAGAATGCTGGGTGGGGGGCTGGGGTTGTGGCTCAGTGGTAGAGCACTTGCCTGGTATGTGTGAGGCACTGGGTTTGATCCTCAGCAGCACATAAAAATAAAGAAAGAATCCTGGTAAAAATTCTTTTCCTTTATATTTTAATGATTATGAATCCAACTACCTACTGGTGGCAAAGAAAAAACTACCAGTAGGATTTATCAAGCACTAAACTCTATGCTCAGGTGCTGGTTAAACCTTGAGTGGCACTGACCTCTGTGTTTGTGGACACACAAGCCCTGCTACCCACTTCTGGCTCTGGCCACAGGCATCTGGCTGCTGAGAGCCAGGGTGCCCTTCTTGTCATTAGGCTAGCCAGGTCTCTGGCTGCTGGGCTGGGAAGGGTCAGGGGAAACCACCTTCCTCATTCACACAGTGCTACAGACCCAGGTGAGCAGGGCAGAGTGAAGAAAGGAAGTGGGGAACTAGGATCAAATTCTGCCTTTACTACTCACTATAGCTACCCTACTCAGAACCAGCCCCTCAGCTGGCTGAAGTTCTAGAGTTTGTACTCTTTAAAACATCTGCTTTGTGGGCCTTTATGAAGACTCAATGAGATGATGTCTGCAAAGCACCCTGTATCACATCAGGCAGAGGGACGGTGCAGGGCAAAGCATGACTGCCAGTTTTTCACTTCTTTCACCATGAACTTCTTGCAATGGCCAGCTGCAGGCTTGGGAAAATGGGCCAGACTGGGCAACTGAACCCACTCTGATCAACTACATTGAAATAAAAAGGGAGCTGAGGTTTTAGGCCCAATTCAGAACTAAAATTAGGCAAGAAGAGAGCTGGGGTTGTGGCTCAGTGGTAGGGCATGTGTGAGGCACTAGGTTCAAGCCTCAGCACCACATAAAAAAATAAATAAAAATAAGGTATGATGTCCATCTACAAACTAAAACAAAACAAAACAACAACTACACAAGAGAAACTATTTGTTCAGCATCTACCATGTATTGGATAACATGTCTTCACTCTTTTCAAATCCTCACAATAACTCAGCTTTGTTAAACAGGTATTACTGTTCTTATTTTATGGAAAAACAAATTAGGAATCAAGGCAGTCAAATAACTTGTTTTGGGTTACACAGATTATATGTGACAGAAGTGAGACTTGAACTGAGACCCATCTGGATCTGAAGCTCATGTTCCACCATTCGCCAGACTTTGGGTAAATAATGTCTTATTTATAGGGACCAACTACTCTGACTTCCTACAGTACTTCACATCCCACATCACACCCTGCTATCCTGCTAGCTATAACACCTTGCCCAGAGACTGCCAATAACAGGTCTGTCTTTAAATAATAACAAGGACATGAACTGACAGGGCCTTTCGGTACTAGGGGGCTAACACAGCAGGTGCTGCGTAAGCAGAGGTGAAAGCAAAAGTTGGCACTAACCCACCACTCTTCTTGGTCTTGAGGACCATGTCCCTGTTGCACTGTGGGCACTTCTGGATGGGCTCTGGCATGGCTGGGTAGATCTCTTCTTGCTGGGCCACTTCTGCCCCTTCCCCAAAGTATTGGGACAAGGCCTCATCCAATCTGAAGAAAAGGCAAACACATACAGTGGCCATCAATCAATGCAAAGAAACTTACAACACTCTTATATGTCAAAAACATATATATGTGAGGGGCTGGGGTTGTAGCTTAGTGGTTGAGCGCTTGCCTCGCATATGTGAGGCACTGGGTTCAATCCTTAACACCACCAAAATAAATAAATAAAATAAAATGAAGATATTGTGTCCATCTACAACTAAAAAATAAAAATTATAAAAAAACAAATTAATTAAAGAACATATATGAGCCTAGAACCAGCTGGCCAGGACCACAGGCCTGAGTAGCAGGCAGAGAGGGGACTGAGCTCTCCACTGGCCTGGCTCATGAGATCTCAGCAGACACATGAAAAAAACTATACTGAGTCCAAACACAAACACCAGAAATATATGTCTGCAATTAATGCTAATTTGTGCATCTCTTTTCAAAACTGGTATGAGAGTGATATGAAGGATTAAAAAAAATTCCAAAATTGTCATTGCCTACAATACATGCAAAAGGCGTGTGGTAGTAGTATTTCCCACATACACCATTGTCCAGCAGACACCACTGGGCATCCTCTAATTGAATTCAATTCTGGCACTATCTCCTCGGAGTTAGTGTCAGACTCTAAAGGTTGATGGCTCAGTCCCCAGGACTGTCCCAACTTGAGATGCCAGCTGCAAATTCCAGGTTGTGAACTATGCTTCTGACCAACTGGCTATAAACTGGGCTTCCCATGACCCACTCCTCAAGTTTAATTTTTACGTCAGCTTACAGAACTCAGATGAATAGCCATTTGGAAGAGATGCATAGGGTAAGGCATGTGGGAAGGGGGCAGAGCATCTATACTTTCTCTAGGTACGCCATCCTCTCCCACATTTAGCTACTGTAAGCTCTTGGAGGCCCATGTGTGTGCATGTATGTTTTGTGGTATTGGGGTTCAAACCCAGGACCTGAAGCATAGTAGGCAAACACTCAATAAATGAACTATGACCCCAGCTCTGCTTCTATGTTTTTATGGAGGTTTCCTTACTTAGGCAAGATTGATAAATCATTTGCCACTGGTGATCAACTCAACCCTCAACCCCTTTATTCTTTTCTGCAAATGTATATATGGTGGGGTGGAGCTCAAAGTTCCAATTCTCCAACATTTGGTTCCCCTGACAACCAGCCTCCATCTTGTAGCTCATCAATACACACCCTCCCATCACTCATCTGATTAGCAAACAAAGACACATCATTTTGGAGATTTTAAAAAACAAAATTTTAAATATATATATATATACATACACACACAATTATATATTAATAGTTATGTATTGTATATAATTACATATTACATATATTTTATATAAATTATATTATCAAAGGTAGAAACATGTTATTTCTTTTTTGTTTTGAAAACATGTTAATTCTTTTTTTGTTGTTGTTTTTGTTTTTTGGTGCTGGGGATTAAATCCAAGGCCTTGTGCATGGGAGGCAAGCACTCTGCCCACTATGCTATATCCCCATCCCCTTAATTCTTTTTTTTTGTACCAGGAATTGAACTCAGGGGCACTTGTCCACTGAGCCACATCCCCAGCCCTATTCTGTATTTTAAAATATTTTTATTATATTTACTTACTTTTTATGTGGTGCTGAGGATCGAACCCAGTGCCTCACGCATGTGAGGCAAGCGTTCTGCCACTGAGCCACAACCCTAGCCTCCTTCTGTATTTTATTTAGAGATAGGGTCTCACTAAGTTGCTTGGCACCTCGCTTTTGCTAAGGCTGGCTTTGAACTCAAGATCCTCCCATCTCAGCCTCTAATGTGGCTGGGATTATAGGCGTGTGCCACTGTTCCTGGCTCGAAAACATGTTATTTCTAACAAAACAAACATGCTGTTTACTGAGTGGCTACCTTCAAATGCTCCACAGGAAAAAAATGGGTCATATACTAGCTCTTGGATTTTCTGATTTGAAAGATGGTGCTACCTAATTCAAGATTTAACATCAAGCTGGGTGCAGTGATGCATGCCTATAATCCCAGCAACTCAGGAGGCTGAGGCAGGAGGATCACATGTTTGAAGCCAGTCTCAGTAACTTAATTAGATTACAGGTATGTGCTATTGCATCTTGTTACAACTACTCCTTTAATTTCTACTCTTCCTGGGTCAGGATCATGGCTATAATACTGCAACAGTGTCATCTCCCTATTTTTAGTCTCTCCCCCTGTATCAAAAAAAAAAAAAGAAGAAGAAGAAGGTGGGGGGCTGGGGATGTGGCTCAGTGGTAAAGTACCCGTGGGTTCAATCCCCAGTATTCCCCTCCCCTCAAAAAATTTAATATCAAAATAATGGCATTTCTAAACCAACAGTCCAGAATAATTGTTTATATACTGACAAAACTCTATAGAAAGGAATAAACTAAACCCAGAGGAGGAAAACGAAAGGGGTAGAACCTATATGGTCACTTCCACTCTTCCGTAGGTGAAAAGGCCACTGGTGAAGATGAACCGTGGTTAGCATGCCAAAAAGCAAGGGTTAGGAGTAACTATATCATCTTGTTTCTGCTGAACTGTCTCTATGAACTTCCACTTCTCAGAGGTAGATGGTATGGCCATGGCTTGGGAGCTATAGGACCTTTTGGGCTGGAAGGCAGGGTCTGTACTCACTTCTTTGCCTTAGCCACTGCTTCAATGAAAACCTGCTTGTATTTCTGCACCTGCTGCCTTAGAACCACAAATTTGTCCTTCTTTCCCTCACAGATCAGCTTCAGATCAGCTTCCAGCTCGGCCCGGAGGTCTGGCTTGGACATTTCATAGCCCATAGAATCGTAACCTGTGGGAAACAGCAGTACTCTGTGAGGTCCTGTAAGACAGGCAACCGCAGGGATTTGGGCAATGTGGTCCCCCCTCCTACTCACTGCAAGCTCCCTTCTCTCTTACCTTCCACAAGTCCCATGCCCAGGTGCCCTGGGAGAAACCGCTTGTCTGAGGTGAGCCCAACATACATCCGAGCTTTGATGGTCTCGATGTGCTCTGCGTGAGTTGCATCAGTACCTGGAAGCCATTTCAGTTACTCAGAGACATTAGAGACAATTGCATAGTGTCTGTGGGAACCTCAATCACCCTGAGATCCATTATATACATGGATGGCCTATGCAGGTAAGATAGCTCCATTCATATCTGGCTTACACTAGAAATCACAGTGGAACATTGCTCTCCTGCTCCCTTCCACCCCATCATTCATCAAAGCTGCCAACTCCAGCTTCACAATTTTTTAATTACTAAGGATTGGATCCAGGGCATCACATATGTTAGTCAAGTGCTCTACCACTGAGTTACACCCCCAGCCCTTTTTAAGTTTTATTTTTAAATGGTCTTGCTAAGTTGCTGAGGTTTGTTTTGAACCTGTGAGTCTCCTATTGGGATTACAGGTATGTGCTATTGCATCTTGTTACAACTACTCCTTTAATTTCTACTCTTCCTGGGTCAGGATCATGGCTATAATACTGCAACAGTGTCATCTCCCTATTTTTAGTCTCTCCCCCAACCTTTACCCAACCCATTCTAAGCTGTGGCCAAAGGGCTCTTTTAAAATGTAGCTCTGGTCACGAACACCTGTAATCCCAGTGACTCAAGAGGCTGAGACAAGAGGATCCCAATAGTGATACCCTGTCTCAAAATAAAACAGAAACAAAAAGGGCTGGTGATGTAGCTCAGTGGTAAAGCCTCTGGGTTCAATCCCCAGTACCAACCAATCAACCAACAAAAAAGTAGCTCTGCTAATAGGGAAATAATAAAACCTCGGTGAAATACCACTTCATACTCCTTAACTACAGCATAATCAGAAAGACAGATAGCAAGTGTTGGCAAGGATATGAAGAAACTGGAACCCTCACGCACTGCTGGTGGGAATGTAAAATGGTGCAACCATTTCAGAAAATAGTTTGGTGGTTCCTCAAAAAGTGGTGCAGCAATCTCACTCTTAGTTGTATACCCAAGAAAATGGAAAACACATGTCTACACAAAAACTTGTAATGTGACTATCTGTAACATAGTTCATAACAGCAGAACAGTTTAAAGAACCCAAGTGTCTTATCAATTGACAGATAAATACGGTCTATCTATACAATGGAGTAATAAAAAAGACAAAAGTTCTGACATGCTACAACACACACGAACCTTGAGGATATCATGCTAAATAAAAGAAGTTTGTTACAAAAGGCCACACATTGTATGACTCCACTTACATGAAAGGTCTAAAATAGGCAAACTTATTGAGTCAAAAAGATTAGGGATTGCCTAGGGATCGGGGGAGCTAGAAGGAAGGAGGAATAGGGAGCGACTGGCTAAAGAAAATGGGTTTTTTTTTGAGGAAATGAAATGTTTTAACCTGTAGTGATAGCTATACTACATTGTGAATATACTAAAACACCGAGTTTCACATTTTATATTTGCAGTGCTGGGGATCAAACCCAGGGCCTCACACATGCTAGGTAAGTATTCTATCACTGAGCTACGCCCCCAGCACTGAACTGTACATTTTAAATGGACAAATTATATAAATTATGTCTCAATAAACCTCTTAAAATTATTTGCTAAGAACTTGAGTCTACGTGGTTCCCTTATTTAGAAATCTTAGCTGCTCACCATGTGCTAAAATCTAAGACCCTCAGCTGGGCACACAGGGCCTGGCAAAATTGGCTCAAATCATTCTTCATTCTCATCTCCTCCAACCTCTCACCTTACACACTCCCAGACATAGCAGGCATGTGTTTTCCTGTCCTTCCTCAGGCTTTGCCTAGGCTGGATTTGCCTTCATTAATGAGGAAGTGTCACTATGTGGTTTTCTGATCCAGCTCAAATGCTAGCCCCCTTTCCCTGCCTGCTCCTGTAGAACCTGTCACATTTTGCTGGATTTGGTTTATTTTCTGGTAGACTGTTTTTTTTTTTTTTTAACATTTTTTAATTGTCAATGGATATTTTTATTTTATTTTTTTTATTTATATGTGGTGCTTACACATGACGGCAAGTGCTCTACCACTGAGCCACAACCCAGCCCCACACTGAATTCTTAAAAGGGAAAGATTAGGTTTTAATTTTCTTTGTGTCTCTAGTGCCTGCCACTCACACTAGTTTCAGGGTGATGGCTGCCAGGTCTGATATTTCAAAGAGCGAAGATACAGATTTTGAGGATGAACTTATCATTTTAATTGTTGATAACTTATTTGTTGTTCTTAACCAAAAAAACTCCAAATCCCCACGTAGGCTAATGGTGCTCCCTGATCAGCCTTGAGCCATGGGAAACATCTAGATCACTACACATGTGGTGCAGTGTAGGGTTTTTAAAAGCAATGGCTGAAGGATAGGGATGTGTCTCTAGTAGAGCCCTTGCCTAGTATGCAAGACGCTGTGGGTTCTAATTCTAGCACTGCAAAACAATCAAACTAAACTAAAATTCATTAAAAGCACATTGGCTGTGGAATTTGGTGACCTCAGTACATTCTTAACCTCTCTAGGCCTAGCTTTAACTATTAAATGGGGATATAGAGGTAGCACCTGTGCTGAGAGTAGACTTGGAGCCGCATATACAATAAGTGCCTGAGAGCTACAAGATCCCCAGGTGAGTTACTGACCAATGCCATGCTTCTCCATGAGGGCGATGAGGTCAGCCTCAGTGAGCAGTTGTGGTGGGCTGGTCTCCCCATCCACCATTTCCACAGTGCTGGGCTGGAAGCGAGAGCCTTGCTCATAGACAGGGAGGAGCTAGAAGAGCAGCAGGCACAGAGATCAGATCACACATACTCAGTCTGGTCCTGCTCTATCAACCAGCATAGGTCTGTAGTTTGACTGTCCTCCCTCTCCCTGGAGCCCACCTCCTTATCACCTTGTCACTCCAGTGATCATAGGGATACACGTCCAGGTAGTTTCGGGCCAGAATCATGAGACCATGGGCCACAAAGCGTTCCTGAGCAATGTCAATCTCCACAGTAGTCTCTTGCCCCTGAGCATCTTGGGAACAGCAGGCTAGAAAATGACGGACGATGAACTCATATAGTCGCCGTTCATCTCCCTGAAGAAAAAGAAGAATCTCTCGAGAACCAGTACCTCAAGGATAGCATCATCATCAATAATTTCAACCTGGTTTATGCCACTGACAGCCATACGCTCTTCAGGCCCTACACCAATGTGAGGCTACGCAGGTCCTTGGGGAGCTGATGGTTTTTGGCTGATAAACCTCACAACCCTATCAGGCAAAAGGCAAGCAAGGGTAGTCATTATTTCCCCAGGCCCAGGATGGGGATTTCTGATGTAGATTCAACAGAAACAAAAATAAGACAAAAGCCTAGGAAATTAATAAGGGTTTCCCTGAAGATAAGAATCACAGAGTAACACTACAGTTGACTGCTCGAGGCCAGCTTCATGCTTCCTTTCAAGCAATGGTTTGTTGGGGTGAATTTGCATCAGTCAGGTAAGCAAGGGTTTAGTGAGGCTAAATCTCAGGTTACATACAAATACTCGTGAGATATTTGTATTTATATGTAACAATTCACCTTCTAAGAATTCATTCAGAGGAATCAGGCATGGTGGTACACATAGTGACTTGGGGGCTAAGGAAGGAAGATCTCAAATTCATGCCAGCCTCAGTAACTCAGTGAGACCCTGTCTCAAAATAAAATTTAAATAGGGGGCTGTGAAGATATAAATCAGTGGTAAAGCACCCCTGGGTTCAATATTTTGTACCTGCCCCCCAAAATTCATTCATTCATTCATAAGGAAATAATTGAGATCCACACAAATATTTATGTATAAATATCAAAAAGTTAAAAACTTAAAAATCTTTAAAAAAAAAATATATATATTTTTAGTCGTAGATGAACATAATAACTTTATTTTATTTATTTATTTTTAAGTTGTGCTGAGGATTGAATCCAGTGCTTCACATGTGCGAGGCAAGCGCTCTGCCACTGAGCTACAACCGTGAGCCTGGGAACTTAAATCTTACATACAGATTTGGCAAAATAAATTATGGGTCATTTGTGTAATACCTATCTATCTACATCTATCTACCTACCTATACTTATTCTGGGTATTGAACCTAGAGCCTTGCAAATTCTAGGCAAGTACTCTACCACTTACTACATCTCCAGTGTTTTATTTTTTTGTACTGGGGACTGAGCCTAAGGTGTGAAACCACAGAGCCACATCCCCAGCCCTTTATTTGAGATAGGGTCTCACGTAAGTTGCTAAGGGCCTTGCTAAGTTCCTGAGATTGGCCTCTCAACATATGTTCCTCCAGCCTCAGCCTCCTGAGTAGCTGAGATTATAGGTGTGTGCCATTGTGCCTGGACCCAGCCATTTTCATTTTATTTCGAGTCAGGGTCTCCCTAAATTGCCCAGGTTGACTTCAAACTTTCAATCCTCCTGCCTGTCTTCTCAGTAGATAGATTACGGTGTGTGCCACCATGTCCAGCTTATATGTTACACTTTAAATACTATAGCATATGAGGAATGCTCATAATATAGTACTGAAATTTTTTAAAAATATTTTTGTAGTAGATGGACACAATACCTTTAATTTTATTATTTTTATGTGGTGCTGAGGATCAAATCCAGTGCCTCATGTGTGCTAGGCAAGCACTCTACCAACTGAGCTACAACCCCAGCCCCTAAGAAGTTTTTATAAAGCTATACGAGACTATACTTTTATTATTATATTATAATATAATCAGGTGCTGAAAAATCAGGTTCTAAGTAGATTACAGATAATTCTTTTCTTCTTTCTTATCTTCTGTGTTTGCTAAAGTGTCTAAAATAAACATGTGGTACTTTTATTTTGTGGTGCTAGGGATTATACTCAGGGCCTTGCAAAGGTACTTTTTAAATTGGAAAGAATATGTATTATTAAAAAAAGAACAGGTAGGGGTTGGGGTTGTGGCTCAGTGGTAGAGCGCTCGTCCAGCACGTGTGAGGCCCTGGGCTCAATCCTCAGCACCACATATAAATAAATAAATAAATAAATAAATAAATAAATAAATAAAATAAAGGTACTGTTCAACTACAACTAAAAAATAAATATTAAAAGAAAGAGGGACTGGGGTTGTGGCTCAGTGGTAGCGTGCTTGCTTAGCATGCATGAGGCACTGGGCTCGATCTTTAGCACCACATAAAAATAAAGACAATAAAGTCCATCAACAACTAAAAACATATTTAAAAAAAAAAAAAAAAAGAAAAGAAAGAAAAAAGACCAGCCAGGTATGGTGGTGCACATGTATATACTAGCAACTCAGGAGGCTGAGGCAGGGGGATTATAAGTTCAAGACCAGACTGGGTAGCTTAGCAAGACCCTGTCTCAAAATGTAAAATAAAAGGAGAGGGGAAGGAGCTCAGCAGCAGAGCATTTGCCTGGTAGGCATGAGGTCCTGGTTCTAACCCCCAGTACGGCCAAAACATAGAATGAAAAAAAACAAAGTTTACTTAGTGGCAGATGCCAAATAATCCTTCATAGTTGTTGCCTACATAGTGATTACTCCCCAGCTGAGGAAATGACTGAATCACTGAATGGCTGAGCAGAGAGAGGTGAGTGTGAAATGTTGGAGAGACTGCAGTAAGCAGTGGTAGGAAAGGTTCTGAAAGGCTGTGAAAACAGGTCCAGTCTTGGAAGATGGTTAAGGCTTTTTCTAGGTAATAAGGGACCAGCAAGGTCAGGAGACTAGTAGGGGTATGGAGGCTATGCCAGGGCATGGGGGAAGGTAGGTTGCCATATATGCATCCATATGAGGGACTAGTGAAAAAGCAACAGAGCTGACGGAGAATGGAGCCTACCATGGGGGGGCTAGTGGGGTGGGGGGTGGTCTTTTGTGAAAGCCAGGAACAAGACTGTGTCTAACACTGCCTTCTCTTTTTTGAAATGAAATACATAGTTCAACATCACTTATTTTCCAAAGTCAGAGCCTGGAGAACAAATTTGAATCATACTTTGATCCTCAGCACCTGTCTCTGAGTTTCAGTAGGTTGCACACTCAGGGAAACAAACCTGCAAGTTGCTGGTGTACTTGGTGGGATGGATGGGAGGGTGAGCTTGATCAGACTTGTTTCCGTTGCGTGGGGTGGGGCCACCCCGCTCGAGAATGCTGTGGGCAAAGGCCCCCCAGTGTGGATCTGGGGTCTGCTGTTCCACCAGTGCCATCAAGTTTAGGTCTTTGGGGAAAATATTTGTTTCTGTTCGGGGATAGCTGATGTACCTAAAAGAAAAGTAAACAAATGAAAAAGAAATTGCTAAACTCTTCAATGGTCTGTAACAATTCCAAGTCCCAGAACACACCTGCAATCACTGATCTAATATAGCCAGTTCAACTGGAGAGCACTTAGGTGACCTATGCTGAACAAAGGTCAGAGGTGGGATCCCCATTCAGGGTGGAAAAGCAGTAATCTTTCTTGCTGAATCATTTTGAGAAGCCAAAGGAGACTCGAAAGGGACAACATATGGCAGGATAAAGGCCCAGGACTCTGCAACAGCCTTATGGCCTGGGGGACTTCACTGACCTCTTAGGGCTGGTCAGTCTGACCAAAACAAAAAGGGATTTCAATTTATTTTTTGGTTCTTATATTAAAATGTTTTTTCTGTCAGAGTGATATCTAAACAGTATGTTATAAGCTATATTTCTAAAATATTCCATGTTGATAAAGATGCACCAAATTCTATTGTCAAATACAGAATATTTACCCTTGAGTGTAGAGCTTTTCAGCAATCCTCATGGTTTCCTTAGCATTTATTTTCAACTTGCGAGAAGCCAGCTTCTCCAGCTCCTGTTAAGAGGGTCAATAGGCACGTTAAGGTATAATGTGTGTCAGGACCTGCCATGACTGCATGTTTCATCTTTAGGCAGGTCTGGCTCCTGCAACTCCAGCTATTGCCATCATGCTGAGAGGGAAAGACTGTGCCCAAAGAAGATTTCTGAGACTTCCAGGCAGATCCCAGCTAGTAGTTCTCTGATGTGTGATCATAAGACTTTCCAGGGGAGGTAGAAGATTCAAAGGTCTAACCACCAGGAAATGTGATAAAAGTAGGCTGTGATAGAGGCCGAAATCTGCATTTTTAACCAACAGTCTAACAAACTGATGCTAATGTATAGCAGTCTGAGAATCATACTTTGGAAACTACCATTTGAGGGGCTGGGGATGTGGCTCAAGCGGTAGTGCGCTCGCCTGGCATGCGTGCGGCCCGGGTTCGATCCTCAGCACCACATACAAACAAAGATGTTGTGTCAGCCGAAAACTTAAAAATAAATATTAAAAAATTCTCTCTCTCTCTTAAAACAAAACAACAACAACAACAACAACAACAAAAAAACAACTTTCTCTCTTTAAAAAAAAAAAAAAAGAAACTACCATTTGAGTCCCAGGAAATTGCCCTGGAAGATAAAAAGCATCCTTTAATGCCTCCTTGGGAATAACCAGCTGTTCTTTTCCCTATGTGATACCCTGACAATGCTGCTGATAAGTCAAAGCACATATAAACAGCCAGGAATAAAACACACACTGAGTACATGAAAAAATGCTCACCATCTCTAGCAGTCAGAGAAATGCAAATCAAAACCACCCTAAGATACCATCTCACTCCAGTAACATTGGCAGCCATTAGGAAGTCAAACAACAATAAGTGCTGGCGAGGATGTGGGGAAAAGGGTACACTTGTACATTGCTGGTGGGACTGCAAATTGGTGCAGCCAATTTGGAAAGCAGTATGGAGATTTCTTGGAAAGCTGGGAATGGAGCCACCATTTGACCCAGCTATTCCCCTTCTCGGTCTATTCCCTAAAGACCTAAAAAGAGCATGCTACAGGGACACTGCTACATCGATGTTCATAGCAGCACAATTCACAATAGCAAGACTGTGGAACCAACCTAGATGCCCTTCAATAGACGAATGGATAAAAAAAATGTGGCATTTATACACAATGGAGTATTACTCTGCATTAAAAATGACAAAATCATAGAATTTGCAGGGAAATGGATGGCATTAGAGCAGATTATGCTAAGTGAAGCTAGCCAATCCCTAAAAAACAAATGCCAAATGTCTTCTTTGATATAAGGAGAGTAACTAAGAACAGAGTAGGGACGAAGAGCAGGAGAAGAAGATTAACATTAAATAGGGATGAGAGGTGGGAGGGAAAGGGAGAGAGAAGGGAAATTGCATGGAAATGGAAGGAGACCCTCAGGGTTATACAAAAGTACATACAAGAGGAAGTGAGGGGAAAGGGAAAAATAATACAAGGGGGAGAAATGAATGACAGTAGAGGGGGTAGAGAGAGAAGAGGGGAGGGGAGGGGAGGGGGGATAGTAGAGGATAGGAAAGGCAGCAGAACACAACAGACACTAGTATGGCAATATGTAAATCAATGGATGTGTAACTGATGTGATTCTGCAATCTGTATATGGGGTAAAAATGGGAGTTCATAACCCACTTGAATCAAAGTGTGAAATATGATATATCAAGAAATTTGTAATGTTTTGAACAACCAACAATTAAAAAATTAAAAAAAAAAACACACGCACACACTGAGTATAGCTCAGTGGTAGAGTGCTTGCCTAGCAAATGCTTGTCTTGTGAGGAAAAATAAACAAAACCCCAAAACAAGCTACTCCATTATAACGCTATAAAAATATACACATAAAGAATAAGAAGAGCAGCGTATGGTGGGGCACACCTGTAATCCCAGTGGCTCTGGAGGTTGAGGCAGGAGGATCACAAGTTCAAAGCCAGCCTCAGCAATTCAGTGAGGCCCTATCTCAAAATAAAAAATAAAAAGTGGCTGGGTATGTGGCTCAGTGTTTAATCACCCCTGGTTCAATCCCTAGTGTTAAAAACCACCACAACAAGAGAAGACATCAAAATTATGTCACTGACTACATAAGGATGGCAAGATTATGGGTCATTTGTCATTTTCTTTCTGTTTCTCCAAACTCATATAATGGAGTTATACTGTATTTATTAACTTTAAAAACAAAAAGTCCAGGTGAAGAAAGCCCATGCCTTCCCCAAGTGATCTTCCTTCCACTGCCCATGCAGAATCTCAGTCCCAACAATATAAATTGACTATTCTCCAGTGCCTAGAATAGTCTGTCTGTAACATACCACAGTGTCCAATGCTTGAGGCCTCCACTTGCTCTTTGGCTTAGACCTGATCTCCACCACAGTTGCCAGGGGATCCTAGAAAGCCAGGAGAACAAAGACCACATTAACCTAGAGGTGTGTCACCTGCAGCCTGTTTGTGACAGCCCCTTCCTACCATTCCAGATCATAGTGACTGCCAGCAGAGGGCTCAGCCACAGCTTAAGAGATGCCCCCATTTAATGTCAATCATATTTGACAGTATGGTGGACACCATTATCCACTTCCTACTCAAACCAAGATTCTGAACAGCAATTTTACAAGCCTTCAAAGATGACAAAATACCAGTCTATTCATCTCCCAAGTTCAGTTTTATACCTACCTATGCATAATATTACTTTTTTAAAAAATTCAGGATAATATAGAATTAGAAATAGGAAAAACCAGACAATAGAAGCAATAAAATGAAAAACCAAATTCACATTTCCAACAGAATATAAAAGAATATAAGGAACTCAGCTGAAGTGATTTGCTAATGAAGATATTTATATATCACAAACCAAGTTTCTTCCTCCCAATAGACTGGGGACAGCTGCTCTTTTTAAGGGGCTCAAAGTATACCACATGTCAAGTATTTCTGCAGAACATTTTATGAAGGTGCAACAGACATACTGGGATCCAATCTAATGGCTAGTGCTCTGCCATTCAATAACTCTAGTGTGTCCATGAGCAACTCACTTCAATTTCTCTAGCTTCCTTCTCTGTAAAACTGGGATGACATAACTATTTTCACAATATTATTAGGATTGAGCAAAATAACATTTAATGAAGTGGTACATTCAAGTGCTTAATAGTTATCATTCCTTTTATCAAAGTATTAATAAACCTGCCAGAAGCATACCACAAATTATTAAACATAGACATATCTGCATTTCACTTAGGCATCACTGTGTGCAGGCTGTGGGTTAAACTGTGCAAAGAGGTGCTGACCTATGGGAAGTGACATCGCATAGTGGACAATACTTCTGAGGAGCAGGAAAGTGAAACTGGGGTCTCAGTTCTATCATGACTGGCATGAGACATGAGTTGGTTGTGATACTTTGCAAGTGCTCCTTTTCCTATGAGACACATTTTTCCTGTTCAAATGTCACTTCTTAGAGAGGCCTTTCAAGATCACTTCATTTAGAATAGTCCCTGCCAACCATATGTGTCAGGGAGGGATTTTAGTTGTATACATCTCAAAATTTCTAATTTTTTTTTTTTTTTTGGTACTGGGAATTGAACTCAGGGGCACTCAACCACTGAGCCACATCCCCAGCCCTATTTTTTTTGTATTTTATTTAGAAACAGGGTCTCACTGAGTTGCTTAGTGCCTTGCTTCTGCTAAGGTTGGCTTTAAACCTGTAATCATCTTGTCTCAGCCTCCCGAGCAGCTGGGATTATAGGCATGTACTACGGTGCCTGGCCCTCAAAATTTCTAATTTTATCTAAAAGTTCTGCAGATATTCCCCTTGTACATTTTTAGTGCTATTTCCTGGGGTTCTGGTCTTGCTGGCTTCCAAAAAGTGATGATGCCCAGAGATGCGAACTTAAAGCCAATACAATTCAGGGGAAGAATGGAACAGGTTCACTGCTGCCAACAGGAGGGTATGGCTGAGGAAGTGTGCAGAATGTTTCTTAGATCATTAAACTCTCGTGGGACTCCTTACCTCCATACATAATTGATAGAGGACAAGACAAGCTGTGTGATTAAACAGACGATGTCTTTTCCAGTTGAATTCTACGGTACCATCTTTGTGATCATGAGTTACTATTTGGAAGATAAATAGAAAGGCTGTCTCAGAGAAAGCACATGATATGACAGACAGAAAAAGGTGTATCACAGTACAAATCAAAGGAAGATAAAATAGGGAAAAGTTCGCAATTCACAATAACTAAACTGTGGAACCACCCTAGATGCCCTTCAATAGATGAATGGATTAAAAAATGTGGCATTTATACACAATGGAATATTACTCGGCAATAAAAGAGAATAAAATAATGGCATTTGCAGGTACATGGATGGAGTTAGAGAAGATAATGCTAACTGAAGTTAGCCAATCTCTAAAAAACCAAACGCTGAATGTTTCTCTGATATAAGGAGGCTGACTCATAGTGGAGTTTGGAGGGGGAGCATGGGAAGAATAGATGAACTCTAGATAGGGCAGAGGGGTGGGAGGGCGAGGGAGGGGCCAAGGGGTTAGAAATGATGGTGGAATGTGATGGATATTGTTATCCAAAGTACATGTATGAAGACATGAATTGATGTGAATATTCATTGTACACAGCCAGAGATATAAAAAATTGTGCTCTATATGTGTAATAAGAATTGTAATGCATTCTGCTGTCATATATTAATAAAAATTAACTAAAAAATAAAATAAAATAAATAAGGAAGAGTTCTGGATAACTAAGGAAACCAGTGGATTCTGAATACTGTAATGGGGCAAGGTGAAGGGCAGCAAGGCTTAAAAAACAAACCCTCCCACTTAATTAATGTTATTAGCACTTTCTTGTTATTCCTGGGCTTGTAGGTTTCATATATAAACAATAACCCCCCCAACTTTACCTTTAATCCTGTGGAAGATTTCTGGCACAAAAGCCTGAATGGCTTTGAACCTTTCTACCACGAACCCCAGTGTCGGGAACTGGCAGCTGCCATAGCTAATGAGCTGCTCTGCCAGCACCTCAGGAAAAATCTTCTGAAGCCGCAGGGTCTGGAATCTAGTGAAGGCAGCTCCTGGACAGTGAGAGCAGATGGGATGAAAGAGGAAGTGATGGATGATGAGATAATTTTGGATCTATGACCCAATACTAGTGTGCCTCAACATGGAAGAGTCCATGGCTCCTCACCGATCCTTAGGTCCAGCTCCTGCCTCACATCCACAGCATCACTGACTCTTTGATCAGGCTCAGTCAGGTTTTCACAGGCTGTCCTGACAGCACGTGGTGTGATCTCAGAAAAATGGGCTCTCAACACTTGTAGACCAGGCTTCACTGTACAACACAAGGGTCACCAAGGTCAAAATCAAATTACACTGCACTCATTGCAAAGGGCTCACTTTTCCTAAACCACCTTCTTGAAAGGCAAACCTGTTCAAGAAGTTGTAAGGAGTCCACTTCACATATTAGTTTAAATTAGTAAGAGGGAATTCAAATTCAAAGAGGGAAACATGCTAGGTAGGTGTGGTTGGGCAGGCCTATCACCCCAGTGACTTCAGAGGCTGAGGCAGGAGGACTGGGAGTTCAAAGTCAGCCTCAGCAACTTAGCGAGACCCTGTCCCAAAGGGTTGGGGATGTGGTTCAGTGGTTAAATGCACCTGGGTTCAATCCCTGCCCCCTCCCCAACAGAAAAGGGAAACATCATTATAACCTGTAACTGGAGTACTGCCAGAAAAAAGAGCACGGTCAATTTTAACTAAAATTCTCTAGGTGGGGCTTTTTTTTTTTTTCTTTTTCTTTTTTTTAATATTTATTTTTTAGTATTTGGCAGACACAACATCTTTGTTTGTATGTGGTGCTGAGGATCGAACCCGGGCCGCATGCATGCCAGGCGAGCGCGCTACCGCTTGAGCCACATCCCCAGCCCTCTAGGTGGGGCTTTTAAGACTTTATTTTTACTTGCTCTTTAGGTCTGTAGAGAAAAGAAAAACACTGTCAATCAAAGGGTCCTGTGGGGGGAATTTCATGTCCCTTCAGAAAAGAACATAGGAAATATACTTTGTCCCTTGAAAGTTAATGTATTTAAATTTCCAGAAGCCATCAGAGCTTTTTTTTTTTTGGTATTAGGGATTGAACCCAGGGGCCCTTAACCACTTAGCCACATCCCCAGCCCTTTTTTATATTTTATTTAGAGATAGGGTCTTGCTGAATTGCTAAATGCCTCACTAATCTGCTGAGGCTGGCTTTGAACTAGTGATCTTCCTGCCTCAGCCTCCAAAGTTACTGGGATTATATAGGCATGTGCCACAGCGCCCTGCTCCATCAGAGCTTTTGACACAAATCTCTTAGGGAAAGTAGCAACCTCAACCTCTGAGCCACAGAATGAAAATGAGTTGCTCAACACTTCCTCTAAGTGGAAATATTAACTCTGTTACAGCCATTCAAATTCATGCCAACATTCATCCATTTATTCATTCATATGCAGGGAATGGAATACCATACAGTAGACAAGTGCTCTACCATTGAGCCACATTCTAATCCAACAATGAATACTCAGGCATTGTACAAAGAATATGGGAGATTAAAAAAGCAGAATGTTTTTAGGATTTCTTTGTACTTTAGTTATGGTAAATGCATTTTTTGGCACAAATTCAATATACAATTTTAAGAAATACAAGCCTGTAATCCTAGAACCTTAGAAGCTGAGGCAGGAGGTTCGTGAGTTTAAAAAGCCAGCCTCAGCAAAAGTGAGGTCCTAAACAACTCAGTGAGATCCTGTCTCTAAATAAAATATAATAGGGCTGGGATGTGGCTCAGTGGTCAAGTACCCCTGAGTTCAATCCCCAGTACACACACACACACACAAAAGGGAATACAATACACTATTTGCTGACTCATTCTTACAGCAGTCCTAGGAAGCATGTCAGATTGCCCTGACATTGAATATGAGGAAGCTGAAGATTCAGTGACTTGCTCAAGGAACACAGCTGGTGTAATTCCCATTGCTTTGCGAGGAGAAAATATATGTAAAAGAATATGGCCCACTTGTATGGATATAGAAGAATTCTCTATTTGGGAGCCCCCCAGCAGAGAACCTCAATAGCAGCAGACTTACCAGCCTTGCACACATGGATAATCTCAAACCCAATGTTTTCACCTTCTCTGTCACAGTCAGTCCAGATCACTAAGGCCTGACACTGCCGCGTTTCTCGTTCTAGAGTTTTCTAAAGTTAACAGGGGGAAAGAGCAGTAAGAGCAGAATCTAGAGCAGTTACTTGATACTTAAAGAGAACTGACTGAGGATCAGTGCTGTTCTTGGGAGTGTGCCACCCTTTATGAGTGGTCACAGAAAACTGCTCATACCAAAGCTACTGATGGTGTTCACCAGTACTATCCTCCAGACTCATAAATGAGTTTCTAGAAAACCAAGGGTTTAGTTGAACTTCACCAAATACAATAACACCTACAACTTAGCTCTAATGCACACTTCTACCTCTAGTGGTTCTAATTATATGCTGGTTAAGAAAAATTAACTTGATTTTCATCTAAGGTTTCTCAGTTAGTGGTGAACTACCTACAGCCCTGAACTGACAATCACTGCCAAATGACTTATACTTTGTAGCCTCTTTAGTCTATTCTAGGGCTGGAACTAACACTGGAATTAACAATTCAACAAAACTTACTCTAAACACCTACTATTCATAAAAAGCTTACTTCATCCTTTGGGTGCTTAGTTAAAAAGGCTTCATTTATACAATGGGTGGAAATAAATAACTTTTTAAATCATGATATGGAGTTTGGAGCAAAACCTTACATCCAAATTCAAATGCATTAATACAGAAATGGGGGCTGGAGTTGTGGCTCAGTGGTACAGTGCTTGCCTAGCATGTGTGAGGCCCTGGGTTCTATTTTTCACACTGCATATAAATAAATAAAATAAAGGTCCATCAACAACTAAAAAAAAAAAAAAATACAGAAATGACTGTGCAATCCACTTGTGGTAGTTCCAACTTTTTTGCCACATGTCTTCTAAAAGTCCCTACCTTGATGTCTATAAAATTCTCTGGGCAGTACTTTTCAATTTCAGCTTCAAAGAGGACTAGGGGGTTGCAGCTCTGCCTGGAAAACAAACAAAAGCACAAGGAGTCTTACCTTAGCACTAACGGTAGAGTCCTCTACTCTCATAAGAATGTACCACTCCAATGGGATCACTGGTGGATCCCCAAAATGGCTCAGAGAAGCATGGCATGGTGGTATGTACTATAATTTAGCTACTTGGGAGGCTAAGGTAAGAGAATCACTTGAGCCCAAGAGTTTGAGACCATTTTGGGAAACATAGCAAGACTCCATCTTGGGGGTGGGGGGAGGCCTAGAGTTAAATGCAAAGCTATTTCTCTGCACAGACCACTGTTCACTCTTCCACAAAGATGAGCTGATAAGATATTTTGGAACCCTTTCATGCATATGTGCAACAGGATAAATGCAGTCCAATGACTGCATGAGAGGGTCTGTTTTGGGGGAACACCTAAGAGTGGTTATTTATTCTAAAGATAAATATTTACCCTGAATCAGATAATTCCAGGTCACTTTAGTATGATAAATTACATAGTAACATCAACATACCTCAAAATTCCTGTTTTTTTTTTTTTTTTTACAATTTACTGTAATAATCAGAAAGTGCTTCCCCTAGAAATTATACTGACCATTTTCGAAACTGCATCTGGAAATCATGAGCCAGTAAATGCCCAGAAACTGAAGTCATCACCATGGTAACACTCTGAATGATAACAAAATTCAAATTAATCTTTTTGTTACTTACATTTTGCCATACAGTTCAAGTCAAAAGAAAAAACTTCTATTAAAGAAAACACAAACAAAACAAAAGCAAAAAAAAAAAAAAAAAAAAACCACATTGACTGGCAGGGCTGGGGGTGTAGCTCAGTGGTAGAGGGCTTGCCTAGCATGTACAAGGCCCTGGGTTCAATCCCCAGCACTGCAAACAAAACAAAACAAAACAAAGCCCCCAAATCCCAAACTAAAAAACAGTTGACTGGGAAGAAACAAACATATACAATAACTCTTCAAATCAAAAACTATAGTAAGATAATCACCACTCTAATTGTAGTATCACAACACCTTATGTATCGTTTAAAGTTTTGTTACTTAGTGGCAGGGTGCTTGCCTAACATGCATGAGGCCCTGGGTTCAATCCTTAGTTACTACATATACACAAACAAAAAAACAAAAACTCCTCGTTTATTAGCTTCTTATAAAACAGATGAGAAGGGACCATATGCTATTAAAGCAACTTTCTTATAAGTTATAAAATATCACCTTTAACCACGAACCCTTAGGTAACAAAATTTATTTCTTTTTTTGGTGGTACTGGGGATTGAACCCAGGACTCTGAACACTGAGCTACATCTCCAGCCATTTGTTTTTCATTCTGTTTTGAGACAGGGTTTTACTGAACTACCCAGGCTGCCCTTCCATCTCAGCCTCCTGAGTAGCTGGGATTACAAGTATGTACTACCACACCCTTAAAAGAAACACACACACACACACACACACACACATATGATGTAGTAGTAGGGATTGAACCCAGGGGCACTCTACCACTGAACTACATCCCTATCCTTTTTCATTTTTTATTTTGAAATAGGGTCTTGCTAAACTGCTAAGGCTAGCCTCATATTTGTAATCCTCCCGCCTCAGTCTCCCAAGTAGCTAGGATTATAGGTATGTGCCACTGCATTCAGCTAAAAAAATTATTCTTAAGACGGTGACATATTTTACATATGGTCAGGCTAATTCTTCTTCACTGATTAAAACATAAGCAATTAGGGAGGATGTATAGTATAGCCATGGCTGAAAACCCAAAGAATATACACCAAAATGGCACATGGACTTGGAACATACCTCAGCTTTATGACAAAAATATTTAGCACCTACCTGTCCATAGAGATGATAGTCAAATTCATAGATCTTGTTGAATTTAGAAAGTCCTTCTCTCTATAAAAATAAAAAATAAGTACAAACTATAAACCACATTAAAAAACAAATGATCATAAGCATAAGGATCAAGCAAAACTCAAATAAGTGGGTATAGTGGTACATGCTTGTAATCCCAGTGGCTCAGGAGGTTGGGTTAGGAGGATGGTGTGTTCAAAAAGCCTACCTCAGCAAAAATGAGGCGTTAAGCAAGTCAGTGAGACCCTGTCTCTAAATAAAATACAAAATAGGGCTGCAGGTATGGCTTAGTGGTTGAGTGCCCCTGAGTTCAATTCCTGGTACTCCCCCAAAATAAACAAATTAAAAACTAGGCTAAATTACCCCCTGCCCCCCAGGACTGAACTCAGGACTTCAAGTGCACTCTGCCACTAAGCTAAATCTCCAACCCCTGGGCTAAATTACTAACAGCTTTTTTTTTTTCAAGACAGGGTATTGCTATCCTGAGTCGCTGGGATTATAAGATGTGTGCCACTGTGTTAGGCTAGAATCCATAGAATTTTTATTCTGGAAAGTAAGCTTGAGGTCAGCTAATATAACATCTTCTCAGAGATGAGAAAGGACTTGTCCAAGGTCACATGACAAATTAATGGCATTAAGTGCTCTCATTCAGACAAAGTCTCTTGAACATTTTTTTATTCTTCCCTCCCCCAATATCTTTGTGATTTCAAGATCATAACAGTGCACCAATAAACTAGTGACCACAACCAAGTCATTCACATTTCTGAATCTCAAAAAAATTTTTCTTAGTTGTCGATGGATCTTTATTTATTTTATGTGGTGCTGAGGATCGAACCCAGTGCCTCACACATGCTAGGCAAGCACTCTACCGCTGAGCCACAACCCCCAGCCCCTCAATTAACTCTTTTTTTTTCCAATTTATTCTTGAATAAAGTTATTTCTTTATTTCCCCTGGCTCTGAAATTCAATGACACCATAAGCTGCAACCAAAATCCAACCTATGAAGCACCTCTGCTGCTGCAAGTGTGGATAAGCAAGACCCTCTCTGAGTAGTTCCCATCTTCCCAACTGGCATTCAAAGTTCTTCTACCAGCACTGAACAGAAGAGAAAGGTCACCTGAGGACTGGGAAATGTAACCTCTTTTGTGAAGTCTTTCCCAGACATTCTCTCCACCATTCCTTTCTTTGCTTCATCTCTAGTAGATTCCAGTATCCAATAGTCTTTTTTTTTTTTTTTTTTTGAAGTGTTGGGGAATAAACCCAGAACTTTGAGCATGTTAGGCAAGTGCTCTACCACTGAGCCCCATTCCTAGCCCCCAGCAGTCTGTTTTCCATCTGTCCTATAATACATCCTTAACAATAGTAGGCAGGTCCTATTCATTTATCCCTAAAACAGAGCCTGCTCCATGGTCAGTGTGCACTGAATAACACAATTCCTGCCTTTGAGGGACTTAAATTTTGATAAAGGAGTTTATGATTTGGCCATGGTTACTAGTTTCTTGGTGCAGTTGTATGGCTTTGAAATAGCAAAGATGTTGAAGGATGAAGGAACAAATGGCCTTCATCCGTAGGAGTAGGAACAAGGTTGACTTCACTTCTACTTCCCAAATTTTACAGTGCTTCCCCATCAAGGTGCGATTAGAGAAGGAAAAAAAAAAAATCAAAGGGATTGCAGAAGTTGTGGCAGAGGAAGACTGGGGAGCCATCAGCCAAGACTCCAATTTCAAAAGTTAAGGAGTATGATTAGGGGTTTCCAACTGCACTGAACTTCGGAATCAGAAGGGGAAAATATTAAAACACAGATTTCCCTAGAACCACTCCAGACCCAGTATCCCAGGAGTTTCAGAGAATTGATCAAGTTTGGGAAAGCTGTTGTGGGCACAGATCAAAGGTTTTCGAGCAAATGCGGGATTCACCCTAACTACATTTAAAACCGCACATCGGTCGGAGGAGAACCTGGGGCTTGGGAGGGCAGACAAGCGGCCTCGGCAGTGGTCTGGGCGAGAGACGGCAAAGACTGAGCGGGGAGAAGTAGCCTTCCTCTTGGTTATGAACGCCCACTACGCGGTCCGCTCGGTGGTCTTCCCTCCAGGGGCCGAGCCTACTCAGAGCGCTCTCTTACCCGCCTCATGCGACCGTTGGACAGCAGGTCCGCGATACCCTTGGCCGCGTCATTTTTCTCGGCCACACAGAGGACTTTCCGCACGCCTCGGAAGGCAACTTCCATGGCGGAGCGGGACAAGTCACGGCATGTAGACTGTCGCAGCCAACGGAACACGTATTGGGTGACCGGGAAGATCATCCCTAGGCCCCGCGCCCGCAGTCAATCACACTCCGCAGTTGCCCGAGCATGTCGGGGAAGCCGGTACCGCCCACCGCAAGGGAACTAGAATCTCTGGGCGCGGACCGCGCTTTCGTCCAGCCAACTCCCAGGCCTTTGGAAAGCTGTCAATGGGCTTTCTCCCAGCCGCTGCCGCCTCTACAACGATCCCCGCACCTCAGGGTCCTACTTCCGCCCGCCTTTCTGGACTGCTTCCGCCAGGCGCGCGTCCTACAGCGGTCACGAACCACAACTCCCAGACTGCCCTGCACTCCCGGAACTCTCGTTCAAGCTTTTTTCCGCTCCCCTCTCTGGGTCTCCGCACTGCCCCACTTTCCCTTTGGTTCAGGACAGTGGTTGGTAATAGGACTCATCGTTGGGAGAGGCTGCCCGCTGGATAGTCCCGTCCAAAGTGCTCTGTCTCTAACGAGCTTTTTCTCTCTAGCTCAGACGTCCGCACGGGAGCTTCCGGGTCACGCAACACCGATGACCGCGAGTCATGTGATACCAAGATGGCGGCACCGCGATAGCTGGCTCCGGGTTGTGGCGTCCAAGAAGCCGCGACGGTTTCTGCCCTCTGGCCGTGGGGGCGGCAACCTTGGCTGACTCCTGCGGCGGCCTGTAGCCCGTGTTGGGTACCCAATCCGGGGCTGGGGCTGTTGCTGTCGCAGCGTGTTCGGGGGAGTGCTGGTGACCTCGCTGCAGGTGCCTTGGCTGGCCGCGCTGGCCGGAGGAAGAGGCGAGCAAGCAGCCTCCTTGATCACTTGGGCCTTTGATGTTCATGAGGACTTGGAGGGTTCTGGAGGAGCTACCTCTCTGAGGGAGTTGCGGAAGTTCCAGCCATCTTGTGTGTGAGGCAGCCTAGGACCCCTGGGGGCTCAAAGGAGGCAGCAAGGACCGCGCTTCCTCCTGGCTGAGTCGCAGTGATTAACCCTGCATTGCTTCCCACTTCCTCTCAATGTTCTCTCCATTTATCAGGAAATATGATCAGCGCCCCTGACGTGGTGGCCTTCACCAAAGAAGAAGAATACGAGGAAGAGCCTTATAATGAGCCGGCCCTGCCGGAGGAGTATTCAGTGCCACTCTTCCCTTTCGCCAGCCAGGGGGCCAACCCGTGGTCAAAACTGTCCGGGGCCAAGTTCTCGAGGGATTTCATCCTTATTTCCGAGTTCTCTGAGCAGGTGGGACCCCAACCCTTGTTGACCATCCCTAATGACACCAAAGTTTTTGGCTCTTTTGATCTCAATTACTTTTCCTTGCGGATCATGTCTGTGGATTATCAAGCTTCCTTCGTGGGCCACCCTCCAGGTTCTGCCTACCCCAAGCTAAACTTTGTGGAGGACTCCAAGGTAGTGCTGGGAGACTCCAAGGAAGGAGCCTTTGCGTATGTGCACCACCTTACTTTGTATGACCTGGAGGCCCGTGGCTTTGTGAGGCCTTTTTGCATGGCTTATATCTCCGCAGACCAGCATAAAATCATGCAGCAGTTCCAGGAGCTTTCAGCTGAGTTTTCCAAAGCATCGGAATGCTTAAAGACGGGCAACAGGAAGGCATTTGCTGGAGAACTTGAAAAAAAACTGAAAGACTTGGATTACACTAGGACAGTGCTGCACACAGAAACAGAGATCCAGAAGAAAGCCAATGACAAAGGCTTTTATTCATCTCAGGCCATTGAGAAAGCCAATGAACTGGCCAGTGTGGAGAAGTCCATCATTGAACATCAAGACCTGCTGAAGCAGATCCGCTCATACCCTCATAGGAAGGTGAAGGGGTCTGATTTGTCTTCTGGTGAGATACAACACTCCCAGGATCAGGCCAACCAGGCATCTGCTACCTCTAATCCTGATGAGTCTGCTGACACAGACCTTTATGCCTGCCGACCAGCTTACATCCCCAAACTCATCAAGGCAAAGTCCACTAAGTGTTTTGACAAGAAGTTGAAGACCTTGGAGGAACTCTGTGACACTGAGTATTTTACCCAGACCCTGGCCCAGCTCAGCCACATCGAGCACATGTTCAGAGGAGACCTGTGCTACCTCCTGACTAGTCAGATTGACAGAGCACTTCTAAAACAGCAGCACATAACAAACTTCCTCTTTGAAGACTTTGTAGAGGTTGATGACAGGGTGGTGGAGAAACAAGAGAGTGTACCTTCTCAGCCCAGACAAGACAAGCTGCTTTCCAGACCTTTGGAAGAATGCCCAATTCCTAAAGTGTTAATTAGTGTTGGTTCTTACAAGTCCAGTGTGGAGTCTGTGTTGATAAAGATGGAGCAGGAACTTGGAGATGAGGAATACAAAGTAGAGGTGAGACAGCCAAGCAGTTTTGACCCCCAGGAAAACCTAGACTACCTGGATATGGATATGAAAGGGAGTATCAGCAGTGGTGAAAGCATTGAGGTTTTGGGCACGGAGAAGTCCACCTGTGTGCTGTCTAAATCTGACAGCCAGGGCAGCCTCACGGTACCATTGAGCCCCCAGGTGGTCCGGAGCAAAGCAGTTAGCCACAGGACCATCAGTGAGGACAGTATTGAAGTTCTGAGCACCTGTCCTTCTGAAGCCCTCATCCCTGATGACTTTAAGGCCAGCTACCCAAGTGCCATTAATGAAGAAGAATCCTATGCAGATAATGAGGGGGCCATCCATTTTCAAGCAAGCATCAGTCCACCAGAGCTGGGTGAGGCTGGAGAGGGCAGCTTGGAAAATACCCCATCCCAAATAGACTCTTCTTGCTGTATTGGGAAAGAGAGTGATGGTCAGCTGGTGCCACTCCCCACTCCAGCCCACACTTTCTCTGATGAGGATGGTGTGGTGAGCATCCCCCCACAGCGCTACCGGCAAAAGGATGAAGGGTTCCATGTGGACTTTGCTGTGGAAAACACCAACCCTTCTTCCCGAGACAACAGTTGTGAAACATTCCCAGCTTATGAGCTGGACCCAAGCTATCTGCTGGCTAGCCGGGATGTCAGTAAGACCAGCCTGGACAACTATTCGGATACCACCAGCTATGTAAGCAGTGTGGCCTCTACCAGCTCGGACAGGACTCCCTCTTTTGCTCATCCTGTTGGCCCATCTTCTGAGAGGCACAAAAAGCGGGCTGGCCAGAACGCCTTAAAATTCATCCGCCAGTACCCTTTTGCCCACCCAGCCATCTACTCCCTGCTCAGTGGGAGGACACTAGTAGTCCTTGGGGAAGACGAGACTATAGTCAGGAAGCTTGTGACAGCACTATCTATCTTTGTCCCCAACTACGGCCGCTATGCCAAACCTGTGAAGCACTGGGTCTCCTCCGCTTTGCACATTATGGATTTTCAGAAGTGGAAACTTATTGGCCTACAGAGGTAATTGGCTCCAGGTGGTGGGGAAAGGCCCTGGTCAGTTTGAGATAAGGCAGGTTGCTGTCATTGACAGAACCAGGAAACTTGGTTTCTAGACAGGGCCCAACACCAACTGATAGTGTTGCTTTGGCAAGTCATTATTCTCTGACTTCTGTTTCCTTTCCTCTTGGGTTGGGGGAGGGGGTCATACTTCCTAAGTGGTTGCCAACCCATCTGCCCCCCTGCTGTGTCAGAATTATTTGGGAAGATTTTTTAAAATCATGGATTCCTAGGCTTTACCCTAAAGATTCTTGGTCTGCGGTAAGAACATGGACTTTACATGGGTCACCACCTCCCGAGTCCCCTTTTTATTTGCCCCAGGAGTAGAAGTTATGGACCTCACTCCGACCCTTGTTGCATTAGACTACTGGGGTGGTGATGGTGGTGTTATAGCAAGTGCCACTTCTTGACTTAAATCACTTGTGGAGAATCCACTCCAGGCTGTGCCAGCAGGTTCTGGGGACAAGCTGAAGGTACCTGAGCAAGACCAATGCTCTGGAAGAATTCATATTCAGGAGAGAAGACAGGTGACCAGAGCACTGGCATTTAGGTAGATAAATGGGATGTTCCCTGTGTTCTGAGAAGACCAAAGAAGCAACTTAGTGACACATAGGAAGTGAGGGGATGGTGCTTTGAGAAGGACCTGGGTCTTTGGCTTGAGTGAACAGGAGGGTAGGTTGGCTACTCACTGGGTCAGGAAGACCAAGTAAGAGACCAGGCATGGCTCTGAATGAGCCATTCTAGGGCCTCCCAGGGAAACCATCCAGTTCCTGAAAAGAAAGGCCTTCCTGGATGGCTTTTGGTTGCTGATACTTATGGAATGATGGGTCAGTATCCCCCCCACACCCCTCCCTCTGTTCTCCAATTCACTCTTATCATCCCAACTTTTAACTTGTCAGAGGTAGAGAATCTAAGACACAAGTAGGGGAAGCTCATAGTTCATCAATCTGTCAACACATGATGACTCATCTGGATCAGGGTGGTCCATAATGGTGAAAGGCTGGAGTGCCTTGTGGAGGGGTTCTGAGGGCCAGGCTGGCCAAGTTCGAAAGGTTGGCAATGATATGTGAGTGATGGGGTGAGGGTGCCAGGCAAGGTTGCTGGCCTGTAGGAAGTATATTTGCCCCCTGGAGGGGAAGAGGGAGTCTCAAATCTGAATTCTGGGGCCACCCTATACTGGCCCATTCATTTTGGGGTCACTCCTCCATTCTAAGAAAAATAAGAGGGTTGGATCACTGAATGGTCATTTGCCAAATATTTATGAGGACAACTAAATGCCAGATTCTGCCTAGTGCCAGGATTACAAGGTGAGCCACTCCTTCCCTCCTGTAGTACACATCACGTTCCTCACTATGATGTGAGGGATGAGACCAAATTAGTACAGTCTTAGATCTCTAGAATGCAGTGCTTCTTGTGCATTCCTGACTGTGATGTGAGGGATGAGACCAAATCAGTACAGTCTTAGATCTCTAGGATAGCAGTGCTCCTTGTGAAGTGGGGAGGTGAGTAAACAGCAGTTGCCACGTTGGTTAGTGCTGAGCTCAGAGTAGCAATGATGATGACAGAAGCACTGACTGTGGGCTAGTCACCATACTAACATGGCTCATTTTGTCACTGCAGTGACCCAACAAGGAATGTAACAGTAGGAACTGTTATCTCTACCTCATAGAGAAGCGTTCAGGGTAAGGACCCTGGTCCCAGAGTCACAGAAGCAGAGGAACATAGAGCAGCTCAGGGAGGGAAGAATATGATTTAAATAGGCATGAGTCAAACCCAAGCAGAGAGAAGGGCATTGTAAGCAAGGCAAACAGGAAGGGTATTTTTGAAGCCCCACAAAAGGCTTGGCCTGCTCTAGGAAAGTCCCTTCAGGTAACTACTAGAAGAGGATTCAGAAGCCATCAGGAATCAGACTTCACAGGGCCTTATAAACAAGCCAAGGTATTTGAACTTGGTTATGAGGGTAGTGAGGAGCCCTTTGAAGAGCCTGATGATCAGATTTGCTTTCCAGGAGACAGTGTGTGTTGGATGGGTGGG